AATACATATTTTATTTAACATCAAACATAATTTCTAATATATATACAGTATATATATATATATAGTAGGGGTGTAACGGTTCACAAAATTCACGGTTCGGTTCGATACAACACAGTGGTGTCACGGCTCGGTTCGGTACGGGGGTAATTGGTTACATCGCAATGTTGGAAATATTTCTGGTTAAACCATGAAGGCGAGCCAATGGATATCACACACAAGCAACGTGCAAACTTTGCACAAGAGTTACGCCGTTGAACGTTTTAAAGAAAGTAAAAGTAAAAACGGAATGACGGAGCTTTCGCCATCTGACGCCGCATATTCTCTCAGAGACGACGAGACGAATCTACATCAACATATGCTGATAACGGTATATAGCTAACTGTTTTTTATTTATTCCCTTAATATTTCTAATATTACATAGTGAAAAAAATGAGAAGAAACATATTTCGTGTTAAACAGGTTGTTTTTGAAAGTCGGTGCTTGAAATAAAAGCTTTTTTATTTCATTGATTTTTATTGATGACTGAAGTGTTAATATTTTAATCATAGGCCTATAATTCATTGTATAGACCTGTTTTAAAATACCTTTTTTGTTTTGGCATTTTTATTTTGATAGGACAGTATAGCAGTGACAGGAAGCGAAGTAGGAGAGAGAGAGGGGGGCGGGATCGGGAAAGGTCCACGAACCGGGACTCGAACTCGGGACGCCCGGAGCGCAACGACACTATATGTCTGCGCACTGCCCACAAGGCTATTGTCGCCGACTAAAATACCTTTTTTAAAACATTTTATTTGAGGAGTAAATATATAGCCTAATCTTTTGTTATCCTCGCAGCACGTCAGTTATTACAATTAATTGTGATTTTAATTTAATAATAAAAGTAACTTCATAATAATAATAATAATAGGCCTAATAAAAATAAGAATGTAACAGGTCTACATTAATTGGAAATGCCAAATATCTTAATATTGCCAACGATTGATGTTTTTGACAATATCTCTGGCTATAGTCGATACAAGATCATCGTCTTTCGACGCAACCCAGCAAGGGGAGGTTATCGCAGGGCCTTTCGCAGTGCGTGTCCTGTTACGTCATTTGGGCTGCCTTGTTGAGCGCAGTGGCACGGAGAACATTATATTTTCCAAATGTAATAGGATTAGTCCAACGAATCGAATCGTTTGGTTTGTAATGCGCACCAAACCGAAAGCCTCGTACCGAATGGTTCAATACGAATACGTGTATCGTTACACCCCTAATTATGAGTATAAAAAGTTTTTGTATTTAGTAAAGTATTTAAAAAACATAACAAAAAGGAAAAAAAAAAACATTTATTCAACATGCTATTAGTTCGTAATGGGGAATTTTTGACTTGAATCCTTTGTTCCCGCTGCACAGAAATACAAAAAAAAAATTCATAAACTTTCCTTAGAAAAAAGTCAGTTTCACTGGGTTAAGAAAAGGAACTAACTGTGGAAAATTCTCACACACCAAGATCAGTGTTCAGACCGAGCAACTGCATGCGGTTGGAAATCTTTACCCAACATCTGATATTCCCACAAAGGAGAAGTGCTCACCCCAGAACCTGGTGATGTCCCGCTCCAGTCCTCTGTGCTGCACGCTGCAGGTGTAAATGTCTCCCCGCTCAGGACGGAAGTTCAGGTAGGAGAACAGGCGAAAGCTGAAGTCTGGGTTGGAGTAATACTGCGTCTCACTGACGTCCTGCTCACTCACCGCCTCTCCGTTCCTCGTCCATGAGATGTTCACCGGCGGCGGGTGGAAGTTGGTCACTGAGCAAATGAGGGTGTTTTCAACACCAAGCTTCACGTCGCTCTTGGTGTACAGCTGTGTGGATGGAGGAACTGTGGACAGATTTAGGGGAGATACAAAATAACATTGCTTAAAACATTTGCGTGTACTTAAAGCACTGTTTGTGTGTTTGAGCACAGGGCGGGACTATCTGTAGCTGTTTCCATCCAAAGTTACAAATTAAACATTTGCGCAAAATTGGAATATTGCATAAAACATTTGCGAATAAAGCACCGTTTCCATCCAGTCAATTTTTTCCAATCAGTCAATTCCTGATTAACTTGCGCTAAATATCAGAAAATTTAAATTTGCTGCAGTAGGAGAAGGCACTGTATAATAATAATTTTTGTATACAATAAATTATGAGCTTCAGAGCACGCAGGCGAAACGCGATCGGTCCGTTGGTTGGTCCAGTTTTATGCTGTCCCATCGCAAAGTCACATGTATTTTTTGATGCGCCTTAAGGAATTTATTTGGTAAAAGTGTTTCCATCGTAGTTTATGTGCATGTTTTCTTCCCGTATAAGCCATTTATCCTACTTAGTTGAGCGCATAAGTTTTTTAATGCACTTTTTTTTAGAATTTATGCACATCTTGGCATTTCCATCCAGCGTTTTTTATGCAATATCCCAAATGCGCATAAAAATAGGTGGATGGAAACATAGCTTGTCTGGCCGACAAATGGCAGACAAGAAGTTATAGTTGATTGACTGGCTGAAGCAACTTATTCTGAAAGTATTCATCTTTTCCATTCCAAAAAAATAATAATTAGTAGATTTAAGAAAATATTGAGAAAAAATATTTTTAAAAATGTCACGATTTTAAATGACAACAGAGCAGTGTTATTTTAGTATTTATATAATATTATAGCTTTTATTAATATTTTGAATTGGCTTATTTCTATACTTTCACTTTTTAATTTTTACATTTTTTTGGTCTTTTTTCATTTTTTATTTTAAAATGAATTTATTTTACTATTTAGGGTTAATTTAGGATAATTTGTTTTTATTTCGTTTTAGTTAATTGAGTTTTTACTTTTGAGTGTGTAATTCTGATGGTGATTTAATTCAATGGTGAGTCTTATTAAAAAGACACTACAACAAATACTATGTATTAAGAAAAAAAGAATTAAAATATTTTTATATTGCAGTAATAAAATATAATAAAATTAACTGAAAAAAGTAATGATTTTAATGACAATTGAGCTGTGTTATTTTAGTATTATTTATATATTATTTTATAAATATTTTGAATTAGCTTTTATTTTAACTTTTTATTTTAATATTATGCCCTTTTGTCATTTTTATTTTATTTTAAATATTACTATTTAGGGTTAATTTACTTCCATTTTAGTTTTTTTTTTTTCTCAGTCAGTAATTTTAACTAAAATATGTTTTCATTAGTGTAATGAGAAATTGAGAGCAAAATGTGCTTAATTGTTATGAAAAACAATTATAAGTCTCTAAGTATTATTTATATACTTTTATAGCTTTTATCTTTGCACTTTTTTTACTTTTCATGCGGTTGTGTGCTTTTGTAAAGTTTTTATTCATTGTAAATATTACTATGTACGGTTAATTTATTTATGTTTCAGCTTTAGGTTTAGTTCAGTTTTTATTTCCAGTTAGTAATTTTAACTAAAATACATTTTTGCAATACACATACAATACATACAAGTAATGAGAATTTTAGGGCAAGATGAGCTTAAATGTTATAGAAATCATCATAATACAAAACAGCCATAAAATAGGTTTCATTTTCTTTTGATTTTGAGGTAAACGTTGCCTTAACCATGTTTTGACAGGCTTTATTAAAAAGAAACATAAAATATTATATATATATACTTTGAATAATTGAATCATGATTTTACCGATGGATTCTGGGGGATTTTTTTCTCCTGCGATACAGGGAGGAATATTGTAGAAGCAGGTGCCGATGGAGTAGTGCGCTAGAGAAGGCAGATTGCGGTCGAGGGTCCAGTCGCCTGCGAACTCCGGCAAACGCTGCTTTGCTGTGTAATCATTAGGATCGACGTGCCAGAGCTCCTCACCGTCAAACTCCAGCTCAAAACCAGCGTCCATCATCTCTATATGACAGTATGTCAGCTGACGCATTAAATGCTTCACACCTGAGGGAGAAAAACCTTCCGTTTAACCATCAACGTACAGGATTAGAAAAAATAAACACAACGTCAACAAGAACAAACTCAAATTTCAGTCCAGCAGGTTTAAAAAGCAGTTATAAGAAGATAAAATCATTACCTTGAGCTCTTGAAAAACTCCAAAAAACGCCAAACGTGCAAAACAGAAAGAACAAGCGCCACATTTCAAGGCCATCAGCCGAATGCCACGAACGGGGCATTTACTGGTAATATTTACTTCCTCCTCCAGTCATTATTGTGCACAATATGGTTTCCTCATGCCTGATAGAAACTAGAGCACTGCTAATTTCACCAGCTAATCAGGTTTCGCTTCTTTTGTGATGCATGAAGCCACTGTATTTTTTTCTGTAATAACCACTGTGCATTGAACAACAGGACCAACGATAATAGAAACATATGGTGTCCAATTCATTTACAATATGCTCTGACCAAGATCTAATATGAACCAGTAAATCAAATTATATTATTACATAGTCTTTTCCATATATATATATATTTTTTTTTTTT